GACCCAAAATTTGAATAGGAAGAACGTTAAAATTGTTTTTACATACAATCAGGAAAAACAAAATATTAAATAAGATTTTTTAGAAGAGCTGCTATACATATTTTTGTACATGTAGGTCCTTTTCCTTTTTTTACTTATGATCTCTTTGGGAAACATACCTAATAGTGGAATAGCTGGATCAACGGGTGTGTATAGTTTGGTTAACCTTTAGGTTAGGGGACCCAATTGGAAATTACCAGATGAGCAACACAGCTTTTTTTCTTTCTTTCTTAGTTTCTTCCTTCCTTCTTTCCTTCAAATTTAATAGTTGAAGCCTGGAGAAGTTTTGACTTGTCTGAGGTAACACAGGTAGGAAATGACGGAGGCAGGATTAGAACCTTTCTAACTCCACACTCACTCTAATTGACCTTCCACTTAACTTTCATTTGTCATTTTATTTAGCCATGACAGAAGTGATTAAAAACTGTTCATGACACTGAGCAGGATAGTTACACTTGGTGACTTTCAATGGGCCCTTCCAGAGTTGCCTGTTGGGCAACCATTCAAGGCCATTGCCCTCCCTTTATCACCCAGGCTCTGTGAGAAAAGTTCTTTGTAAATCATAAAGTGAGATGTAAATGTGAGCTACTGCTGGCTCTGAAGCCAGAGAGAAAAGAGAAGACACACCAGGGCAAAGATTCTGTTTTGTGACTAGCAGAATAAATGGCCCTGGGATGGATTTCCTAAAGCAGGCCTTATCCAGATGTCATCTCTTCATGTACCTCACTATCTAGTCTTATTTTCTCTTGCCTCCTAGAGCTGGGACTTTGGGGGAGAGTCACATAATTATTAGGGCCTTCTATTTAATAGGATAAATGGTATATTTATGAAACAATAACTCCATTTTTTAAAGCTAGCATTTTAAGGTTGACAAAGTACTTTCTTCAGAAAGGCCATTCACAAGGTTAACACAACACACTTAAAAATGCACACAATGCCAAGAAAGCTGGAAGAAGGCCCACTATCTTGGATAGATGTCAGATAAGGATTTCTGGGAGGAAATGGTCAAGAACCTAGAATAAGGACGTGTGGATGGGTTGAGAGCTATATCTTTGGAGAGAATGTTCACTTCCAAATATTGAAGTATTCCTCACAAAAACTCTGAGAGGGAAGAGTGAAATGAGAAAACCAAAAGAATGTTGTGCACACTAACAGCAATATTGTTCTAAGAACAACTTTGAACAACTAAGTCATTTTGAGTATTATAAAAACTCAGATCAACTACAAAGGACCTATGAAGGAAGATACCATCCACATCCAGAGAAAGAATTAATAAATAGAAGTATGTATAATGGACACATACTTGTGTCTAATGGTAACCTTCTTTAGAGTGGGGTGCAGAGGGAGGGAGAAAAAAAATGAAAAGTGCGTAGCTGAGAACAAAAGAAAAGTTTGAAGGAAATGTCAAAAAGCAAGGTAGCTTTGAAAATAATGCATAGCATTTATTACATAGTTTTTTTTTAAAAAAAAGGGAAACAGTGTGAAATGGAAATTCATGGTTTTATACAGAATCCTCTTTTTATGTTGTACCGTACACATGAAAATGTTCTTTTTTTTTCATTTTGTACTTAAGTTCAAAATGAATAAAAAATTAAGAAAAAAAAACTCTGAGAGGGCAGATGGAGTGGATGGGAAGAAAAGAGTTCAGAGTTTTAAGTTCATCAGCAAGAGACAGCTTGGCATAGTGGATAGAGAGCTGTCTTCCAAATCAGGAAGATGAAAGCTCCTCTGACACTTACTGTCTGGGGGACTCTCAGAAAATCACGTAACATCTCATTGTTCTTGGCTTTCAGACTACAAGGTGAAGGTGCCATATCCTTAGGTACAATAGGGAGTGATCTCATTTGCGAGTACTCTATGGTAGTGTCAAACTCAAATAGAAACCAATCCCTGTGGGTGTATATTGACTTAGAAAACCAAAATTAACATTTTCTCTGTTTTATCATATTTTTATTTATGTTGAGCATTTCCCAATTACAGTTTATTTTGGTTCAGGCTGGTCAAGACAGAAACTGTCATGGGCAGCATATGGCCAGAGAATGTGTTTGCATATCTGATATTTCTGCTACACCACAGGGCTAGTCTCTATCCCTATAAGAAATTCTCCAGAGAGGCAGCTCCCTCTCCCACAGCATATGGGTAACTTATCTGCAGCATAGCTCAAAGGTCATTTCCTATATAATGATTTTCCTGCTGTCCCATAGCTCAACAGCTTTCAGAGTGTTGTTCATGAGACCCTTTCAGGGGGTCCACAAGGTGAAAACTATTTTCACAATAATGCTAAAGCCTTTTAATTATGAATACTGTAAAATTAGATAAATAAAATCTTCACAAATAAAAGATTTGGTGGGGAGGTGGTGGTAGGTCTTCAGTAACTTTTGAAATTATAAGAGGGTCCTAAAACAAAAAAGTTTGAGAACCACTATCCTGTTAGTATCTCCCCTCCCCAAATTGTTTTATATCTACCTGCATGTCTGCATGCTATCTACCCTGAGAGAATGGGAGCCTCTGACAATGAGCAATGTTTCATTTTTGGCTCTGAATCCCTACTCCCTGGGTAGGGTAAATAGAAGGTGAGTGGCATGTTTCCTCTGGATTCTTTTGGACTCATGGTTCATCATTATATTGTGTTGATTACTTTGCGCATCTAGGACCAGGGTAAACAGAACCTTAAGAAATGCATATGGTCTTAGTCCCTGGGGCACAGAGAAACTATGTCTTGTCCAAAGTCACAAAGCCAAAAAGTGTCAGGAGCTGAACTTGAACCCAGGTGGCTTTCACTCTGAAGCCAGTATTCTATATGCTACATCATGCTGCCCCTATGAGAGGTAGATATTACAAGTTTTATCATGCCCACTTTACAGATGAGCACACTAAGCCTCACATGGATTAGATGAGGTCAAATGGTGCTAGATGCACAAAGTAATTTGAAGATTCTCTGCTTCTATGTCCAGGGCTTGTTCCACTACCCCACATTTTATTCTGTGATTGTGTGATCTTCTACAGACTTACCAAAATTAGGTACCAGAAGATCCACTTAAACCTGCAAGTACCTACCACTACTTTGGGAGCCTTTACCCCAAAGAAAGAGGAAGAGGATCTATATGTACAAAAATACTGATGGCAGTGCTTTTTCATGGTAACCAAAAAGTGGAAACTAAGGGGGTAGCCTATTGGAGAATGGCTAAATGAATCGTGGTATATGAATGTAGTGGAATATTACTCTGTGGCAAGAAAGGATGGAACTGATGACTTCAGAGGAAACTGGGAAGACTTTTCAGTAGGTTTCAGAGATAAGTGATTCAGAGAGAAGTGAGCATAACCAAGAGAACAATTTATACAATGATAACAGGATCACAGAGAAAAAGAACTAGGAAAGACTTCAGAATTTTCATCAACACAATGCAATGATGAACCATAGTCCAAAAGAATCCAGAGGAAACATATCACTCACCTTCTAACAGAGAGAAGATGAACTTAAGATGCAGAAAGAGACACACATTTACAGACAGAACCAATGGGGGAATTTGCTTTGGAAGACAACGTAGCTGTGTTTTGAGAGACTTCCTTTTCTTTTTTAAATTTGCTGAATGGGGAAGGGAGTAGCAGGAGGGACAGACTAATATTTCAAAATTCTTGTTACTTGAAAAATAAAAATAATAAATTATTTTTTAAAATAAACCGGCAAGCAGATTCATTTAAGAAATCCAAGCTTTAAAAAAAAAATGGAAGAATTATTTGCCAGACAAAGGGATTCGCCCGAGGGCTCCCTCTTGCTTTTTGGATCAGTTACAAATTTCTCTAATTTTTAAAGCCCTTTACAATCTGTCCCCAGCCTACCTTTCCAGGTTTATTGCAAATACTCTTTCAAAGCCTTGACACTCCAATCAATCCGGCCAATCACCGCACTCTTTATGTGCCATCCTGTTCCTCATCTTTGTGCCCGTGCACTGGCTGGCCCTATTCCTGTTCCTTACTCCTTCACATCCCCCTCAGAGAATCCCTCTATTTCTTCAAGACCATCTTCTGTGCGAAGTCTTTCCCGATCCCCCCAGTTTCTGGGGCCCTCTAACCAAGCTACCTTGTGTTTAACTACTTTGGTTTTATTTGAATTTATTCTATTTATATTTATTCTAAACATGCTAATACATGCTCTTCTCTCCCCCTTTATCTTTTATCCACTTATCTTTTTGAAAGAAGGAACTAATACATCTTTTTCTATGTATCCTCAGTCCCTAGCGCAATGTCTGGCACAAAGTAGGTGATTAATAAATGTCTGTTGATTGATTGATTCAAATTACTGAATTATAGATTCAAAGTCCATCAAGTTAGTGCTATATGCTAGACACTATGCTGGGTACTAGAAGAGACTCTGAGCTCAGTCCCTGCCCTAGAGGGATTTCCCCATAGCTTCATGTATGTTGAAAGACCAGCTCTGCTTGGTAAGCACGTTTAAATACTAGGCAATAAAACCCATCAAAAAGGTGGTAGAATAAAGGCGTGTCCTCCACAAATTCATGGAATATCAGCATTTTAGAGGAACACTCATGGCCAAAATCTCCACCTAATCCTTGAGGAAGGGAGTGAGAATTAATCATTATTAAAAATGAACAAGTATAATTGAAAAAAATGTATTTGGAAATTTGGTGTTCTTACCTTTCAATATAAAGTAGACACTTCCCTTTTGTTTAATTAGTGCTTTTAAGAAGTCGTCCCTGGACTGAACTATTTACTCAGAGAATAGAGGGTTGCTTTTCCTTGCCCACTTTAAAAAGGGGCTTTGAAGAGCGTGTTTATTATATGACAATACTTTACATTCATGTTCACGAATTAACACATGGTAACAGATGAATAATAAGTCATTTCTACAGCCAAGAAGGAGGTGTTTTATTACGACATACCCTTGCAGTCATTGGATGTGAAGAGAGCCTGCCTCCCTTTAAAACTGGAGTGAGAATGATTGATCTTATCATTTTTCATCATTTCAGTTCCAGCATCTCTTTCAGCACCATCAGTCACCACCAAAATGATGCCTGGAGGCTTAGATGAAACTCAACCTGCAACTCCAGAAATCCAGAAGATAGTTGATGAGGTAAGGTGGTGCTTTCTGGATCTAATTGAAAATAATGGGTTCTGGTAATTTGATAGCCATTCTCTCTTACTCTCTCTCTGTCTCTGTGTGTATTTCTCCCTCCCTCCCTCCTTCTCTCTGTCTTTCTCTCTCTGTCTCCCTGTGTCTTTCTGTCTCTCTCTCTGTCCCTGTCTCTCTGTCCCTGTCTCTTTCTCTCCCTCCTTCTCTCTCTCAAAGTTTGTCAATTGTGTTACTCTTTTCAAAGAACTCCTTTTTAGGTTTGTCTATCATCTCTATGATGTTCGCATTCGCTAATTTATTCATTGCAACATTTTCTGCGGTAGCAAAGAACTGGAAATAAACTTGAATGGTCATTGATTTGGAAAATGGCTAAAAATAAATGTGGTACCTAAATGAAATAGAACATTCATATGCCAAAGGAATGATAAGTATGAAGAACTTAGAGAAGCATGGGAAGACTTATATGAGATGATGCAAAGTAAACAGAAACTGACAAAAGAATATACACAATGGCTGCAGCAATGGGAATCTGGTACAGTGATGAGAGAGGCCTGAATTAGAAGTCAGTGTAAGTGGGCTCAAATCCTACCCTCTGACTCATATCGGTATGACCTTTGGTAACTGGGGCTTAATCCCCTTGGGCCCCAGTTTCCTCAAATGCAAAATGAAGGGATTGGAGTAGGTGACCCCTGATATCTTTGCCAGCTCTAGAAAGGACAAAAAAATAATAAAACTAAATGCTGCATAATTAAAATGACCAAGCCTGGCCCCAGAGAAGAGATATGGAAAGGTGCTTTCCTGTCTTCTTTGCAGAGGTGAGAGACTATGGGTGTGGAATGTTTACTAGACTGTCAGACATAGTTGGTTAGTTTTTGTTGAACTGCTTTTTTTTCTCTTTTTTTAAAATTTTAAATCTTTATTACACACCATGGCTCAGTGGGGAGGAAAGAGAGAGCAAAGTTAACTCTGTAAACAAAGGTGATGTAAAAATGAAAGACATCAACTTTAAAAATAAAAATATGTGCCTCTCTGGGTACTGAAGGTAACATTCAGAATGGCTTTATTTGGCAGGCAGACATTTTAGAAAATATGGACATTCCACCTGAGTAGTAAATGAATTTACATAGTTTCCTGCACCCTATGAAATCAACAGAAACAGATAATTTGGCTTAGTTCATGGACAAGATGTTGACTGACAAAATGAGAACTTGTTCTTTTCTAACTCGTTATCAATCCTTTGTGTTGTCAATTAATTTAAACCAATTACAAGACCTAGTGTACTTATGATGCCATTTAGAAATCATTGATTTAGCATACTAAAAAATATAAAATCAAAGAAAAAAAAGAATGATTTTGTGAAAGGGGAAGACAAAAATACTACAGAATGGAACACGTTATTACTCCCATTCAGATCTTCTTTTTAATCGTGTAACGTTTAACATTTTAGAGGCAGCATCTAGTCTAACTGTATTTCTTAATCTGTAAAAAGGTCAGGTTAAAATACGGATCTCTAATGGCCTTCCAGTGCTAAGATTCTTTGAGTCTATGATTATCAGCTAAGATTCTGAGGATGCTTTTCTAATTTTATGGGGTGGAATCAAACTGTAACCAAAGCTTAGGACAGGTCAGCACATCATACTGGCTGCGGACCGCTTGTGGCCCACCAACGGATTTCGGGCAGCCCACAAAAAATGTAGGGTTGCCGCTGCACATTCACAACAACCAGCCATCATCAGTCTGTCTCTAGTCTACCCTGTCTGCAGCCAGAAGTTTAGTCAATTTTAATTATGGCATCTCCTAATGCCAAGTTGTGCAGGTCTGGCATAGAATCATTAACAATCTGATGATTATAATTTAGAAACCACTGGAACAACCTTGTTTGTTAAGGCCAAAAAGATATAGAACAAAGCCATGTCACAAAAGAGACCCCGATGGTCTCTGACTAATGAGTCAACAGACAGACACTTTCCAAGCAATAAAACAGATTCTGGTGACGACTATTCTGACCTTTGTGACCAAAATGAGAATTTGTTTGTGTTTCTCTCTTAGTTTATGAAATATACGTATGGGCTGAAAAGTGTCCAAAAGAAGGCAACAAATAGAGTGACGGGCTTCAAGTCCATGTCACGTGAGGATCCATCGAAGGGCCTGCCAGTGTTCAGCCTGGAGAAGAAAAGACTGTGGGGGAATGAAATATCTACCCTCAAGTAGCTTTCAAAGAAAACAGCAGCTAGGGGGCGCCATAGTGCACAGAGTGCTGGGCCTGGAGTCAGGGAGACTCATCTTCCTGAGTTCAAATCTGACCTCAAACACTTACTAGCTGTGTGACCCTGGGCAAGTCACTTCACCCTGTTTGCCTCAGTTTCCTCATCTGTAAAATGATCCGGACAGGGAAATAGCAAAACATTCCAGTATCCTTGCCAAGAAAACCCCAAATGGGGTCACAAAGTGTTGGACACAACTAAAAGGACTCAACAACAACATTTGAAAGCCTATCATTTGGAAGAACTATTAGAATTGTTCTGCTTGGACCCAAAGGGCAAAGGCAGGAATAATGTGTGTAAATTGCAAATAGGGTCAATTAACCATTAGAGCTGATCAGAAGCAGAATAGACTGACATGTGGAATTGGTGATGCTCTTGCTTTCCCTTTCAAGTAGAGGTGGTGTGATCATGTGGCAGGCATGTTATATCAGGGATTCATTTCTGGAATGGGTTGACCTAGATGGCCCCTGAGCTCCAGTCCATCTCTAAAACTGCTGCTTCTGTGGTTCTCTATGACTTTGTGAGGCCATCATAGGATCACAGAGCGAGGCCAGGGTTCTCTGCCTTTTTGTGTGTCATGGATCCCTTTGGCAATTTGGTGAAGCTTATGGACCCCTTCTCTGAACAATGCTTCTAAATGCTTGACAAAAAAAATGATGCTACTTTATGTAATATTACAAAGAAAACCAAAATTTAGTGAAAATAAAGATATATTTTTTTTATATCTAAGTTCATGGACTCCTGAAATCTAATCCTGGGTTCCTTGGGAGTCTGTCTGTATATCCTGGGTTTACAATGCCTAGGACTAGAAGGTCCATTGGAAGTCATCTAGTTCAACCCCCTCCCTTAGTAGATGATGCAACTGAGGTCAAGGCTCACCCTATATGATACACAGGTAGTAAATATCTGTGGGAGAAGTTGAAACTGAGTCCCCAACACCAGAGGCAGAACTCATTCCACTGTACCCCTCTACCTGTCAGTGCGGGTACTGTCACACCCATTTGCTGTTGTTTGTCCTTCCTTCTCAAAGAGGACCATGACATCAGGAAGGTGATGCCATGACATGCAAGTGAATTGGATATAAGCGAGGGAGGGCTGTGCAAAGTCACCAGTCTCACTTTCTCCTCTCCAGTGGCAAGATATAGATCAGGACCACTGGATACTGGCCCTCGATACAATGGGGGACCTTGGCCTTGTTAAGCTAAGGTCTTTAACAGGTCTCAGTTTGACTGAGGCAATGCCCATTCAGTGACTAAGGCTAAATAAGAAATGAGGCAGAGAATACCCATTTACAAATGAGGACAAGGCATTTATACTTCTGAAATTTAGCTCCATTTATATTTCCATGAAGACCAGGTATATCTATTACTTCAATACAATTTAAGACTTCTCCTAACAGTTAGGTGTAAACCAATGCTTTATCGTAGCGGGGAGGTGACCCTGTGCTCTCCAAAACTATGCCAGTGGAGCGTAAGCTCTTACAGGCGCTACCTAGTCAGAAAGGCCTGGTGATAAATTGTTGGCCTGTTGACCAAGGACCAACCTAGATTAGTTATGAAAAGTCCATTATCAGAAAAATGATGAACCAGGTAATGTGTATGTATTGGACACAGCCACTCATGAAGACCATCTATATTTCAATATTTGTAATCTATGTAGGTAGAGGATATACCCACACTGACAAAATTATGCTTCTAGCCTTATACCTTTCTTCTTGTTATTATAAGCCCTTGTCTTTCTGTAGGAAAATAGTGACACTAACATCAAATGGAAAATCCCAGAGTATTTGCTTGTATAAGATACCACAGATTAGGTGAGAAGGTAGAAGTTGACAATTTTAATACTGCCTGAAGTATTAGGTTGAGTGAGGCAATCCTGGGAAGCACAGGGCTCAGGGCCAAAGATGTTAAATCTGATAAAACATTGTATGGTACAGGAGAAGCTGGAAAAAAATGTTCTCTTGTTGTTTCCCTGACTCTTGACTGCTAATTTTTTTTAACTTAGTTTAATTTTTTTAATGAACAAAAATCTATTTTCTCTCCTTCCTCTACTCACCTCTATTGGAGAAACAATAGAGGCTTGTATTGGCTTGTAACCAAGCCAATTGGTTTGGCTTGTAACCAAGAAGCATAGTGTTGAAAGAAAAATCTTCATTAGGGTTTCACCCTAAAGAAATAAGGTAGGCTCAGGAAAAATGTAGCAAAAGGAGTTTATTATTATATCAAAAGAATACACATTGCATAGTCCTTGCCCTGAGCTCAGACTGCACTTAACCTTTTAAAGACAAACTTTCCTAATGAGAAGTAAATGTCTGAGACAAGATTTGAATCTTCCTGATTCAAAGTCCAATGATCTAGCCATTGCACCACCTAGCGACCCAACTACCCATCAGCTGATGCTAATTAAATGTTTTCTTTTCCAATCAAGTTGCCTCTTGATCTATTGAATTCTAGGTTGAGAACAGTGTCAAATGAATGAATGTAAATAAAGTGCTTTGCAAATTTAGAGCAACTAGGTGGAATAGTAGATAGAGCCTAGAGTCAGGAAGATACATCTTCCTGATTTCAAATCTGGACTCAGACACTAGCTGCATGACCCTGGGTAAGTCACTTAACCCTGTTTACCTCAGTTTCCTCATCTGTAAAATGAGCAGGAGGAGGAAATGGCAAACCACTCCAGTACCTTTGCAAAAAAAAAAAAAAACCCTGAATGGGGTCATTAAGAGTTGGGCACCACTAAAAAGACTGAACAAGAAGTATCAGATGATGATGGTTACTAAAGAAGTAATTCTGCACCTGAAATTTGGGCACAAAATGAGTCTTTTTCTTCTCCAGGTTAAGCAGAGGGATTATTTGTCTTTGTACTCCCAGTACCAAGCACAATGCCTAAACACAAAGTAGGTGTTTTATAAATGCTTATTGATTGGTTGATTAGCATGGAGAAGGGAAGGCTCACTGGAACCATGATAGATGTCTTCAGGTAGTTGAAGGGATAGAGAAGGATGAGATTTGATCTGTTTGGCCCCAGAAGACAGAACCAGTAGCAGTGGGGGGAATTTGAAAAGAAGCAAATTTAAGTTTGAAATAAAGAAAACCTATCTGATAACTAGAGTTGTCTAAAAGTGGAATGAGAGGGTCATGGGATCATAAATCTAGAGTAGGAAGGGACCTCAGAGATCATTTAGTCCAACCTCCTCATTTTACAGATAAGGAAACTTTGAGTGACTTGCACCAGTTCATAAGCAGGAAGGATCAGAGACAGGATTAGAATCCAGGTTCTCTGACTCCAAAGGTAGTATTCTTTACCATGCCACTGTCCCTCATTGGAAGTCTTCAGATAAAGGCTGGATGACCATGGGATCATAGATTTTAAAGACAGAAGAGTGCTCAGTGGTAAACCTTTAGGGTCAAACCCCCTTATTTTATGGATAAGGAAACTGAGGTCCACGGAAGTGAAGTAACTTGTTCAAGGTCACACAGGTAGTGACAGAGCCAGGATCTGGTCCACTGGATAGAAACCCAGCACTCTGTCCACTGCATCACACTGCCCTTCACTCATTAAATACCATATACTGGGGATGGCTTTTCTGTTATTGACAGGACTGCACATAGATTAGCCACTGAGTTATCTTCCAACCAAGATTCTGAGACTCCGTGTTAGCATCCTGAGCAACTCAGAGATTTATAGAATCCTTACAAGAAGATGTGCCCTGTAGTCTGTGAGGGAACACTAGCCATCTATTACTTGAGCGGTCAATCAATCAATCAATCATTTCTTCCTAGCTTGGAGGAAATAATTGCTGTTTGATTCCTTCCTTTTGAAAGTATTTTTATTTATTTGGTATATACTAATTTGGGCAAATACTGTATTCCTCCCAGGAGAATGTAAGCTCCTTGAGAGCAGGAGCTGGCTATGCGGTTGTTGTTGTTGTTTTCATCCACTGCACCTGACACAATGCCTTAAGCACAGTAGGCAAAAACATAATTATTAAAAAAGCATTTATTAATTATTTAAGGAATTGGGGAAAAAGAGGGGTTTGACTAAAGTTTCAGTGTTACATTGGCCACTGAGTAGACCAAACCTTATATTACTTTCAGATAATCACTAAATTCTTTACCCTCTTCTCTTTTCTTAAGGTAAAGCCACAGCTTGAAAAAAAGTGCAATGAAAAATATGACTGCTTTAATGCTGTAAATTACAGAAGACAAGTGGTTGCTGGGACCGTGTACTATATAAAGGTCAGTGTTCAATAAGTCATTGAATTCTATTCAGTTTATTTCCATTTGGATGTACATAGAAAGTGTGGGAATAGTTTGTCCCCTTCCCATATGAGTAAATGGAGAAAATAAAGTTTCTCCCCCAGAGGAAATATAAAGTGATGGTGTAGTAACTGAGAGAAAGTAAAGAAGGCAGAAAGGAGGAAGGGACTTTGGGACGTGATTCATGACAACCTGGGGAGCAGAGCAGGACTAACCTGGTAGGTTTTGCTCTCATATTGAACCTGAGAGATGACAACAAAGAATGACTGATGAAATGAGAGGGCAGTGGGAGAGAGAGTGAGAGAGGGAGAGAAAAGAGAACGAAAAGGCTCTCCCTTTATCCTCACTTTGAGTAGCCAGGCAACTGGAGAGAAGTAAGGCCAAGACAGGATTTATAGAAATGAGTTTTTATTGCTTCTCTAATGTTTAAGACTGTCACTCTGAGAATTTACACACAGACTTACTCATGATTATTCATTTGGAGAATTCCATTTGCTTTCATGATTCCTCTAATAACATGTTAGCACACAAGATTGTGAATTGCCGGCTTGCAAGTGGAGAGTCTCAGGATACGTTGTCTCAGGCTTTCCTGGATGGGAACCATAAGATAAAAGAGTGAGAAAATTCCCAAAGTACTGGGACTTTCATGTCATGATAGTCTCTAAAACAAGGTTTATATGTTTATGTCCTGAATCCAACAATGAGATTATATGTTGCTTGAGATATAAGCATCTGGTCTTATATCAGAGCTTCACAAAATGTGAGTACCAGGTCACCATGGACCCTAATCACTTTCATTGGTGCACAGAATTTCAAACACAACCTTATCAGAAATTATTGGAGTGCACTTTACTTTTTCCAAATCCTAGATACATTTGGGGGATTTTATCCAAATTCACGATGGATTTTTATCATTATAGTAAATTCTAGGTCTGTGAACCCTCTCTACCAACACAGATCAAAACCAATCTATTGACTTTGTTAAATAGCACTAGTGAGTTGCTTGGGGCCCGCCTAAGGTCCTTACATGACTTACATAGGATCATACAACTAATAAGTGTCAGAGGATTTGAACCCTCTCCAGGTGCAAACCTAGCACTCTATGCACTATAGCATAATTTTAAAAGAAATATATAACCTTAGAGTCCCTCAGTGTAGCCAGCAGTGGCACACATCTGGGAACTCCTTGGCCACTTTGGGGATTGTGGGTAGAGATACCTAGGAAGTGTATTCAGGGTGGATCCAAGTGTTTCTCTACTTAAGGTATAGCAAAGTAGAACTATCTCGGCTGAGTTAAGGAGGGTATATTAAGGTGCTATGAGATGTCAGCCAGGCAGTAACATCTGCTGCAGCCTAGGAAGGAAGAAAACAAGAATTTATTAAGTGCCCACTATGTGCTAAGCCCTTCACAAATATTATCTCATTGGATGCTTACAAATGAGGGAGAGACATTTCCCAGGGGAGGAAAATGAGATTAAGTGACTTACCTAGAGTCACACAGCTAGCAATGTCTGAGGTGAGATTCATACTCAGGTCTTCTTGACTCCAGGCCCAGCATTCTCTCTTTCTGTGGGAAATGCTGGATCTGAGAACCCTCTCTACTAACACAGATCTGAACCCAACTATTGACTTGGCTGATCAGTCTAGGGAGTCACTTGGGGCCTACAGTGGTTGTGTGACTTACCTGTCCAAAGCACTACCTAGCTGTCTTGTTGGTTTCATTTACTCTGATTTTCTAAAGATAGAACTCTGTTAAAGATAGCTTGCTAAGTGCTACTATTTGGGGGGGATATGGGAAATTAAAAACCACAAATGGGACCAGTGAGCAGCTAGGGCTATCCCTCAAGGAACCCAGCATTGGAAGGAAGACACAAGATGTACAAAGGCCACATTTTCATAGGGGCTTGGATAAAAATCAAAAAGAGGGAACCCATATTTTTGTATGACACAAGATCTTTTTTTCCTACACATTTCAGAAAATAATAGCCTAAAAATAAATGAAACTCTGGGACAAAGGCACAATTCAAATTCAACATAGTAGTTGACTCTGTTATTAAAAATTAGCTGCTTAGGTGTTCAAAAATCCAGGTGCTTAACAACTAGAGTCAGCTGTGCTGTAATGAAACAGCCCTGGATTTGGGATCAGATTTTGGCTCAGCTGCTAATTACCTTGTGTCTTTGGACAAGGGAAAGGAAGAGAATGGTGGGGGAGGTGGGGTTAAGAACAAGTATTAATTAAACAGCCACTATGTGCCAGGCATGATGCTAAGTTCTTTATAAATGTGATCTTACTTGATCCTCACAACAGCTCTATGAGGTAAGTGCTTTTATCATCCCCATTTGGGGGGGACTGAGGAATTCATTTGAGGAAACGGTGGCAGACAGGAAATGACTGAAGGTCTTCCTAACTCCAGGCCCATTACTCTATCCACTGCATCCCCTAAAAGCCTTACAAGTAACTTACAAACTGGACAAGTGACCAACCTCACGGGGCCTTAGTTTCCTCAACTACACAATGAGCAGATCGCACTAAAGTTCCTTCCCACTTTAAATCTGTGACCTTCAGAATGAACAGTAGCAGGGGCAGCTAGGTGGTATAGTGGATAGAGTACTAGATTTGGACTCAGGAAGATTTGAGTTCAAATCTGGCCTCAGACACTTGACACTTACTAGTTGTGTGACCCTGGGGAAGTCACTTAACCTCGATTTCCTCACCAAAAAGAAAAAAAAAACTAACAGTAGTATGATATTGGTGTCTATCTGAATATTTTCATTCATTGGACCTTTGTGTGACTCAATTCCCTTAGCTTTAGAAATAAAAATAAATGAGCTCTCAAGTAACTTTGGGCAATACTTTTTTCCAAAGCATGAATAGGCCCATTCATAGGTTAGAATAAAAATATAGAGTTCACATCAGAGGTTATCTAGTCAAACCCCTACCTAGAACAGCAATGCCTATACAGTGGCCCTGAGAGGTGAGAGGTGCTGGGTTGGAATATATGTCACTGATTCTCCACTTCTCTTTATTCTCAGGTACATGTTGGGGGTGAGCGATATGTACATTTGAAAATATACGAACCTCTCCCTCACGAAAATAAACCACTTGAGCTGTCAGCCTACCAGACCGGCAAAACCAAGGATGATGAAGTGGCCTTCTTTTAGAGTCCCAGGCCAGAATGCATTTGGTTACTTTCATGAGCATGCTGTATCAATAAGCACACTGGGAATGAAACATAGATCTTTTAAAAGTAGATTTTTGACTTTGATGATGTATTGGTTAGTTTTAGTCAATGTTCCCTTTTTCCTCTCTTTATTCTTTGTTATAAGGGATGTCTCACTGGATAGAGGAAGGGGAAAGGTTATATTCAGAAATAAAGTGATATAAGAACAAAAGTTATCAATTAAAATTTTTAATCAATTCTGAAATTATTTGCTTTAAATTATTTTACATCTCAGCTCATCCCATAACAGATCCTGGCTTTCCAATAGTCAAGGAGCATTAGGTTACCCTATAAAACTGCCAAGCAAATTTGGGTAGCACCTTCCCTGGACTCCTGCCCCAACTTATACACACAGTTATGGGTGGGGTTTCCAAATAAAGGCTGCTGTCCCAGGTAGTAGGGGCAACCGTATGGGTCTACATCCCTATGTCTCAAGAGTTCCCATTTACCACCAGCCAGCAGACAGAATGAGCAATGCCATTTACTCAGATGGCATAGAAAGACTAGTAGTTATCAAACACCACCCCGCATAAACCTGGGGTATACTCTCCCACAAATACACAGTGTCCATGGGGAAAATGGACTCAAACTTGGGGCACAGTGGTGGCAAGGTAGATGTGTAGGATACATGTGTGGCAAAGCCAACTCATAACTCCTGGTACTACATGACCTAGACATTGTTTCTCTCTGGATGAGTTGCTCAGCTGGATATCCAGGGTCTTCTCTCTGCAGTCTGACTCTTCTGTTTCTTCATGTTCCTTGAGGGTGCTTCCACCCTAGAGTGGCTGTTTCCTTATAGCCATGTTTATCTGAAGGTTGACCAAAACTGCTGAGGTTGAAATGACAGCCCTTCTCTGCTACCTATACTAATGAGTAGTATTTACTTGTCAGTAATAGTACCACCCGGATGATTTCAAGGCATTTCCTCATCATAAAAAAGTTAAATACTCCTGCCATCTTAGGAATCTCTTTTGAAGCTCTTCCTTAGCTAGTATCTAATCGAAACACTGTTTTCCTCCAGTAGTTGCCACAGTTCTTTCAACAAGTGGTTGGATGTACAAAGAAAGGTTCAAAGTTGGTGCTGAAGTCAAGATTCTTGATAGAGTGAACTTCCTCACTGAGGCTTGTGCTCAGGTAATCTGAGAGCTGGGAGCTTCTTACCCCCTTCTAGCACCATGTCTAGAGACTCAAGAGAAAATGGAAAAGATTACCCTTTTTCAGTTTTCTTTTGTCTATTTTTTACTAAGAGAAGTTCTGAAGACTTAAAAGATCCTTTATAATGCTACCACCTGCACATTGTATCCTCCTTGTATCCACACATCTCCAAATGACATTTCAGCATTCAGGATCTGCTCTAAACTGTCTAGCTGGTGTTCCTGGAGTCTTTTCCTGGCTCCTCTTCTTTTTGCTGTACCCTATGGACTGTCTCCAGGCGTTGGCTTTGCTTTTCATTCTTGTTGCTATATGAAGTCTACAGATAGAGATTATGAAGCTTTTTCTTACTATGGTAACTGTTCCCTCCTGTACTCCATACTAATTTGCCTCTTGCATGGCTGCATTGGTCAGAACCAAGCAAAGTTTTAGTTGCCTCAGTAGGAAATTCAGTAAGTCTAGTTTTGAAGAATTGCATGGGGGTGGTGGGATAGAGGGATCCACCTCAGGTTTAAGGTGCTCTGTGGGTCCACAATCTTAAAACTATAGGTCATGAGTCCCCACCAGTGCTTTTGCCTTTAACAGTCATTTGACAGAATTAACTCAAAGCAAAGGTATTTACTGAAAATTGTATTGTAAGAATCATAGCTATAAAATATTCCTCCCATCAACCAGAAGCACACTCTCCTATAAAACCTCACATCACTGGAAAGAGTGAGCACACAATTAGACAACATACAAAGTCAAGGAGACTTATACTTCTATTGCCTCAGGGCCTGACTTTCTTTCTCTTCTCTTGATGTCTTCATAATGGACACAATATTTCTGCTGGGCACATCTTATGTGCCTGCTCCCAGATAGAGAGAAGTAGTGTTAAGAGAAAGGCTAGTACTGGAGATTGTGTGGCTGCAAGCAAAACAAACTTCCTAATCCTGAAAAGTGGGGAGCAAAAAGGTGAACTGAAATCTAAGGTGGTGTCTTAGATTTCCTCTTAGACAACTGGGAAATAGCTAAATGAATTTTGAAAAAAAAATATTTCAGGGAATAATGGATAATATGATCTGCCACAGAGTGAAGTGAGCAAGATCAGGAGAACAATTTATGTAAGGATGGCATCACTATAAAAAACCAAAACCAAAAAACTTTGAAAAACATAAGAACTGTTGATCAATGCAATTAACAACCATGTCTCCAGAGGACCTAGCATGAGGCATGTTATCCAGCTCTCATACCTTGCTCTCCTCAGAATTTGCTCAATGAGGGAGTAATATACACATTCAGGTGGGCTTAGAAATCTATGTTACAATACAGAAAAGTAGGTAGGTAAAGGGATAAGGTGGGAGGGGGGAGCTGATAGAATGGAGGGTAGTTGGGGGAGGGGGTAAAAGTCAGAAACAAATTACTTTTGAGAATGGACAAGATAAAACGGGAGAGTATAGGAGAAACAGAGGGAAAATAGGATGGAGGGAAATACATAGTTGGTAATCATTACTGTGAAAAAAAATTTTTACAGTGAGTTTTTCTGAGAAGGACTGCATTTCTCAAACATAGAAAACTGAGTCAAATTTATAGAAATAAGAGGATTCCTTAATTAATAAATGGTCAAAGGATATGGACAGGCAGTTTTCAGACAAAGTAATCAAAGCTATCTATTGTCATATGAAAAAATGCTCTAAATCACTGTCAATGAGAGAAATGCAAATTAAAACAACTCTGAGCTACTACCTCACATCTGTCAGATTAGCTAATATGACAGAAAAGGAAAATGAGAATGTTAGAGGTTATGTGGAAAAACTAAAACACTGATATACTTGGTATAGTTGTATATTCATTCAGTCATTCTGGAGAGCAATTTGGAACTATGCCTAAAGGGCTATAAAACTATGCAAACCCTTTGACAAAGCAATACCACCACAAGGTCTGTATCTCAAAGAGATTTTAAAAAAAAAGGAAAAGGACCTTGGTGTACAAAAAATATTTATAGCAGCTCTTTTGGTGGTGGCAAAGAATTGATAATTGAGGAGATATCCATCAACTCGGGAATGACTGAACAAGTTGTTGTATATGATTGTGATGGAATACTATTTGCTTGAAGAAATGATGAGCAGGATGTTCTCAGAAAAAAACCTGGAAAGACTTACATGAACTGATGCAAAGTGAAATGAGCAGAACCAGGAAAACATTGTACACAGGAACTGCAATATTGTGTGATGATCTACTATGAATAACTTAGCTATTCTCAGCAATACAATGATCCAAGACAATTCTGTAGAACTTATGATGAAAGGTGCTGTCCATCCTCAAAAAAAAAATTGCAGAGCCTGAATGCAGATCAAAGATATTTTTTCTTTATTTTCTTTATTTTTTGGGGGGGATTTGTCTGTTTTCTTTCACAGAATGACTTACATGGAAATGTGTTTTACATGACTACACATGTTTAACCTATGTCAAAGTATTTGCCTTCTCAACAGGGTTGGGGGGAGGGGAGGAGAGCATTTGGAACCCACAATTTGAATAAAAAGAATGTTAAAATTGTTTTTACATATAGTTGGGAAAATAAAATATTAAATAAGATTTTTTTAGAAAAGCTGCTATAAATATTTTTGTACATGTAGATCCTCTTCCCTTTTATACTTATGATCTGTTTGAGATACATACTTAATAGTGGAATAGCTGGATCAAAGGATGTGCACAGTTTGGTTAACCTCTAGGTTAAGCATTAGGTTAGGTTAGGAGACCCAACTGGAAATGACCGTATGGACAACACAGCTCTCTCTCTCTCTTTTTTTCTTTCTTTTTTTCTTTTTTTCTTTCTTTCTTTCTTTCTTTCTTTCTTTCTTTCTTTCTTTCTTTCTTTCTTTCTTTCTTTCTTTCTCTCTTTCTGTTTGTCTTTCTTTCTCTCTTTCTCTCTCTCTTTTTCTTTCTTCTTTCTTTCTTTCCTTCCTTCCTCCCTTCCTTTCTCTCTTTCTCCCTCTCCCTCTCCCTCTCCCTCTCTGACTCTCCCTCTTCATCTTGCTTTCTTTCCCTCCCCTCCATCCAAGAAAGGTGTCATACCTGAAACCTCCCAAGATATCTTAGGATTTACTCTGTAGATTTTTTTCTTAAGGATTATGCCTTAAACCTTAATCACTCTGGCTCTCATTGATTGGCCGACCATAGGTCCCAGGCCTACTGGTCATTGTTTGGGCCTGGATTGGCTCAGAGTGAATGTAGATAGCAATTGTGTCTGTTTTGCCCACAAACTCTGAGGGTCTTCCCCTCTCAGATTGATTTTTTTGGATTAAAGGTTAAAGAGGCCATTCTCTGCCTCATTTCCTACTTAACCTTAATCACTGAATGGATGTTGCCTCAATACAACCGAGACCTGTTAAAGACCTTAGCTTAAAAAGGCCAAGGTCTCCTACTGTATCCAGGGCTATCTCCAGTCATTCTGATCTATATCTTGCCACTGGACCCAGATGACTACAGAGGAAAGAGTGAGGCTGGTGACTTTACACACCCTGCCACACTTAAATCCAATTCACTTGCATGTCATGGCATCACCTCCCTGATGTCATGGTCTTCTTTGAGAACGAAGGACAAACAACAACTTTTAGGCATAGTTCCAAATTGCTCTCCAGAACAGAATATGTTTTAGAGCCTAGGGACCAGCTCAGGAGAGTGGATAGTCAAATCAGAAGCTCAGGTCATAAACAAACATCTGTCTCTTTTTTCCTTTTCAATTCATTATAAACTTTACAAACATTAGTGAACATGAACTTTTCATATAGGGAGAAAAACAACAAACATTGGATTGTATGTGAAACCACGATGCTTGATTTGGAATCTATTCTTTGTGAACTCTAACTCCTGAACTCTGGGAATATTGCCAAAGTTGTGAGCAACAGCTTCCTCTCTCTGTGAGAACAGTCCCAAAGTATCCATGGGGATGTCAGACTGTCTCTCACCTCTCCTTTCTCCCACTTTTGCCC